AGGTTTGATTGCTTTAGTAATTTCCACGAGTACAAATCTTAATGTTTAAGCATATAATGATATTCTAGGAAATTGTGTGCCTCTAATTTTATACCAATAGTTTGAACAGGACCCTTTTCTATTCTAATACAACAATGCCTCTGTATAAGGCAAGGTAAAAAAAAAAAGAAGATTGATTCAATCAGTGTGGAAGAACTTGACTGGTCTGCATACATGACTTGTACATACATATGTACAAGTCATTGGAGTTTTTGGCTCAAGGTCTGCATTTAGTCACACCAGAGGTGTTCAGCTGGGATTAGGACTTGGCTTTATGCAGACCAGTCAAGTTCTTCCACACTGACTGAATCAATCCTTTTTTTTTTTTTTTTTTACCTTGCCTTATACACAGAGGCATTGTTGTGTTAGAATAGAAAAGGGTCCTGTTCAAACTATTGGTATAAAATTAGAAGCACACAATTCCCTAGAATATCATTATTGTTTATTGCTAAGTTTAGTGTGTCAAAATAGAAGCGCAGCTGTAATTTGCGTGCAGTGTATCTGGTTATGCTCTATGTCAGTGTTTCCCAACCGGGGTGCAGTCTGTCGAGAGCAGGGGTGCCGTGTAAAAATCCTTTTTTAATATTTTTAAATTGCTAAAATGTTCAAAAAAGCATCTAATAATATTAAAAATATCTGTATGACATTATATTCTGCAGTTCTTTCCTGTTGTACCGAATATCTATACTTTTCAAATTATCATATCAAAGTTAGAAATTCAAATATTGTGACAAAATTAATTTTGTAGGGTGCCACAAGTTTGTTCAAATTTCCAAAGGATGCCGCGACTAAAGAAAGGTTGGGAAACACTGCTCTATGTAATCAGAGTGTGAATTTGTAGATTTTCTATAGCAAAACTAAAATGTGTTTAAAAGTGCGACTGACCAAATCGTCCGGCTCGGTTTGCCCCCCTCGAACTCGAAGACATCTCTAATTTGACAGTTTACCATCTAATCTCACTCTAGGCTATGTAGGACGGGACGGAACCATGCAGTGAATGGGGGGGGTTATTTTGCCGGAAATGCAGAAATAAGCCGTTTTATTTGTAATTCTTTGGTAGATACATTTATAATTTCTATTACATTACTACTACTACTGTTACTACTAATAAAACAGATCTCTGGGGGCCCCAAAAGTGCGTGGGCCCTTAGAATCGTCCTAACTTTCCCCCCCTTAGCAGTGCTCCTGACTGCAGTGTCTGAAACCCCCTAAACAGAACGGCAGTACTGAATGGCCTGCAGAAGTCTTGTGTTCTAATAATAATAATGACATTGAGGTCCTAGCTAACTGGCCAAACATTGGCAATTCCACTATCCAGTTAATGCCAAATTGTTTACCTCCTCTGCCTCCATGGTTTCCTGTTTCTGTGCAGCTTGGCTTTCCAGCTCAGTCAACTGCTCCAGGGTGGTGTCCACAGCTGAACGCAACTGTCCAGATGCATGTTTTGTCCGTTTCCCCTGCGTGAGGGACACTTTGGCATCCTGTCATGAATAACAGCATAACAGGGCTTTCAGTTCCCGCTTCAGTCCAGGCTCCTCGAGGCAATGCAGTGTTTATACACATCTTGGGGTTTAGGGATTTGATTGGACAAAATTGCCATTCAAAGTTCTGTTATACACAACATCTATAACCACAAATTTTTTTACTGAAAAACATTTCGATTCAATGACTGGGAGAAAAGTATTTCTTGTTAGCATCATTCGGACAGAGAAACTTCAGCTAAACAGGACTGACAAATATAACAGCGTAGCCTACTTTAGCCACTGCATCGGCAGCCTCCTCGGCTTGTTTAGCTGTGCTGCTCGCAGCCATAGCATTCTCCACTGCAGGCTTGATCGTTCTCTCTGTCTGCTTAATTCTTTTTTT